ACCTCAATCGTGTTATTAAAAAAGGTACGGCCGATAAGGACCGTTTCAAATTGTTCTTAATCGTGTTCTACCCATATTAAGAGGACACCACAGGGAAAGAACCGAGAAAGCTACAGTAGGTAGGTAATACCTARKAAACGAAATTTTCACCGTATAAAAAGGGAGAATTTTGTCTGTGCAATATCGTTTTTATTTTTTCAATATCAGAACTACAAAAAATTTTTTCATGCCTAAAAAACACAAAAATAATGTATTATGAATCATTAAATACTTTTTTACATAAGTGATATCGAAAAWATAAAAACGATATTGCACAGACAATATTTTTATACAAAAAAAGTTCTTATTGTTTCATGATACATTATTTTTGTGAATAACTTTTTTTGTAGTTCTGATATCGAAAAAAATAAAAACGAAATTGCACAGACAAAATTTTCTTTTTTATATGGTGAAAATTTCGTTACTTAATTATAACTGTAGCTTTCTCGGTTCTTTCCCGCGCGAAACAGTTTTTGCTATGTTACTCACTTGTAAGACGGAGACAACACATGCGGGTGTGGTGTCCTCATAATATTTAATCACAGACTTCTATACTATCTATCTATMTATATATATATATATATATATATATATACTGTCTATATAGAAGTCTGTGTATTTAATATATTTAACCTTATCGACGTTTGATAAACCGGCAACCGTGCACAGCACACATTATTAATTAGTATTATTTAATAGTAATAAGTAATAACTAATAATATTGCCAATTTCCAAGTTTGATGTACACCAATTACGTTTTTATCGTGTACGGTGTATATTTACCTCACGTCCTCACCTCATAGGCACACCTCTTACCCATATTTATACTACACGTATTATATTATTAATTATATTTATGATTTTTAAATATGTTTGGTGATCTTAGTTTATTTCTAAAAATCTCGGTGCCTACGAATTGCGTCCCGTATAAAAAGGTATAATACTAATTGCCTCCCGGGTTTTTCTCGAGAACGATTGAATTGCGTCCCCATTATGGGCAGAATCTCGGCTACAACTATACGAACTACTATAATAGTTGTGAAGATTTTCATTCGGAGCTTAACGCAATGTTTTATAATGCTCATCCAAATATTTTTCAATTTATAAATACTCTGAAAAGGTCACAAACTGATATTTATATAAAACAACGGAGCACTCACTTAAATTACCGTACAACCTCGATAATTAATAAAGAACATTTTTTAAAACAAGCAATGGCAGATTTTCAATAAAAAAAAAAAATTAGTAGATTCGATTTGATAAAAAAGTTATCTTTTAAATTTTTACTATTATTATAATATTTTTTACTACTAACGCTTATATTTTTATACCGTTATTAATTTATTGTTATGCAATTTTTTTTACTACAATTCAGTGGCGTGCTAAACAGCTATTTTTTGAGACAACTGCCTCAGGGAAAATACGGGTGGGTGAGTTACTATAGGTGTGCAACTGGGCACTAATTTGTTCGTACATTTTCAATGTATAAAATTTTTTATTAAGTGAAAACCTWATGGTTGTAGGGTGGGTGTTAAATTRTATAGTTTGTTTCAGGTCTGAAAAATGTTCTGCACGCCACAATTTATATTTCTATATT